ACACAAGAAGGACGTTTCGAAAAAAAACAACACTTTTTCAGTATTAGGGGACCCCAAAACGTGTATTTCCGTCGAATTCTCGAAATCGATTTTCCGAAGCATTACTTAACTTTCCCAATACTACGTATATTACTTCGTATATACGTACGTATACAGGAAAGTAAAATGTATTGTTCCGCTTTGTTTCTAGAGTTTGACGCGAGCGTTTGACAAAGTGTGGCATCAAGTCTTGTTAAACAAAATAAAGAAATATCTGCGTCATCCATACTATAACATAACTCGATCCTTTATTTCGGATCGATTTTTTCAAATAAAATTCGGAGATGAAATAACACTGTTCCATCCAATACTATCAGGATAACTTCCGCATGGCAGCATCCTTGGATCAGTCTTGTATACGCTGCATACCTCTGACTTACCTCATTACCCAGATGTTACCACTGCAACGTATGCAGATGACACAGCCCTGCTAGCTTCGCACGAAAACCAAAGAACGGCAACAAGAATATTGAAAGATCACCTGCCAATGGTTTAAATTATGAAAAATAAGAATGAATGAAATTAAGTCCAAATGTATAACATTTCCCTAAGAAGAAGAAGAAATACAAGAATATAAATAAACGGAAAACTAATTGAAAACGTAGACACCGTCAAATATCTTGGACATCTTGACAAAAAGCGAACTGTTGAAGAAACATGTTGCAACTAAAAGAAAAGAAGCAGAACTGAAAAATAGACAAATGATATGGTTAATAGGAAGAAAATCTCTAAGCCTAGAAAACAAAGTTTTCAAAACTTTACAAAACTATGCTCAAATCCATCTGGAAATATAGAATTGAACTCCGGGAAACGGCATCTCACTCAATGTAGAAATAATCCAAAAGATCTCAATCCAAATGTATTAAGTAATGCTCCCTAGTTTGTATCAAAAGCCACTATACATAAAGATGTCAATATAACCATTGTTGAAGAGGAAATCACTTTCAAATACCAACAGACTCGTAAATCATCTTAATCATCTGGCCATAATCATGATAGATAACAGCTCATGACAAGAAGACTGAAAATAGTACATCCTCTTGATCCTTTTGTACACCACAGATATAAATAATTAAAGGTGGTAATTGTTACTGTAGAGGATACCATTTTCTTTTTTTGTCACAGTGTTTCTACTATTGACTGTATGTTTGTCTTTGTGTTATTGTTATTTTGAATGTGATGTTTTTTTGTTTTTCTTCTTTGTTTTCGACAATTCTTTTAAAAATGTTTTTTTAAATAACATGGATGGTTCCTTTAAATGTCAATAATGTAATGTACAATTGCATTTGCCAAATGTTCAATTAGAACAATTTGCAAGTAAAGCAGATCTCATAAAAAAATTGGGGTATGGAAGGTATGGATGGTGCGAATAATTAGAATTTAGTACAGCTCCCATTTTGTACGCTCTTTTGCTTCCCATACACAAAAATGCACATAAAATATCACCCGTTAGCTGTTTTCAGCGTTTTTTAATAAGATCACTTTAAATTAGTTCCAAAAATTTTGTCCCAAAATCTACAACTACTTTTGATTCTTCTCTAGATTTGCTTTCCACATCCATGTTTTTGTCCCTAATTTTTAAAAAGATTAAAACTACACAAATGCAGTCTAATTTGTATTAACTTTTACTTCTGCAATTTCTCTATTAATCCTTTTGAACTTGAATATAGGCCCACATAAACATTAAAAGAAGACTTTTTGATATGCTTATGTGAATAAGCTTAATAAAAATAAGTTGTTAATCACATTCACTTAAAAATCGGTATTTGCATGCTTAAGAACATAACTGTGAGAAGTCAAACTTACTATAATAGTAAGTTAAATGGGCTTTAATTTTATAGAATTACTCAGTTTGGTTTTCTCCATATTCACTTGAAGTTCTTCAAATTAAATAAGTTTGTCACAACAAACCACGTTTTTGGACATTTCTTAGAATCTTCTGGCCGGATCTGAAAACAGATTATCAGTTCCCAACCAGGAGACCGAGGCGTGACGAATGACACCTCATATGTCTCGATTAGTGCATGGGAAATGGTCTTACCCTGAGTGACAGATTCGCACTTACCCATACTTGCAGATACTCAAATACTATGCAGGGACTAGTTGACTGTGACATCGCTGATGGTGTAAATTGGTTTTAAAAGTATTTTCATGTGTTGAAAATTTATGTCATCCATAGCTTTCTTCAAATAAGTTCTTACAGCTTCTAGCAGTGGACATACCGATGAATTGTAGTAGCTTATGTTTTACACCTGTTAAAAATGTCCAACTGCCAAATGTTACCTCCATAGGGGATATGAACTGGTAATATTGCAATTTCAAAAATATAAATGCTGTAAAAATACTTGTAGGTATGAATGATGCTGAATGGTTAGAATTTAGTTCAGCTGCATGTTTTTACGGGTTTTGCTAATATGCACAAAATTGCAAATAAAAAAATGATCTGTAAGCTGCTCTTCAGTGCTATTCTGTACTAAGATCATTCTCAATTAGTTCTGAAAATACTGTCACATAATCCTCTACAACTACATTTTATTCTTTCCCTGATTTGCTTAACCCTTCCATATTTTTAACTCCTAATTTTTGAAGAGATTAAAACTCCACGAAATCAGTCTAATTGTGTTCACTTCTACTTCCACAATTGCTCTATTTATCGTTTTGTAGGCGAATCTAAAACTATATAGACATTAAAAAGCGACTGTTTTGTAAGTTTATGTGAATAAGGTATTAGTTACATTTTAATAAGAATAAGTTCTTAATACTGTATACATTCACTTAAAAAATTGGTAGTTACACCCTAAAGAATGCAAATGTGACAAGTCGGATTTAAGAACGTATCTGTCAGTCACGTGGGCTCAATGCATGCGAGTAATGTGTTACATCCCCTTGTATGCCATTGCTTAAAAATATTTTCAGTGCTGTATTTTACTTTCTTCATAAGTATCTCCCTTTGTATCTCTATTCCCTCTTGCCATTTACGTGCGCTGTCCAGAAGTTGTTAGTCCCCTCGCTGCACCTCGTTGGATGCGATGGGCCGAGAAACATCCCTTGAATGACCTCGCTTCGTTGGCAAGATAATTGAAATCATGGCCTTGCTCTGTGTGCAAGCAGTGTGGATTCGACTGCTGGAGTTGTTGACATTGCCCCTCACATCACTGGCTTCTGAGCTGTCATTGGCGAGTGTGAATTCCCTCCTCTGATGCAGTCTTAATTCAGTAGCGGGTCTGGAAATCCCAGTCATCACGTGCCACAATTGAGGACCACAGAGCGGGGCACATGCGACGATTGTCTTTCTCCAGAACTCGTGCAAACTTGCCAACTATGCCAAAGCGCACTAAGCACATTTCAACCTGATTAAGTACAGCTGGGTAACTTGATGTGGGTTAGCAGGCCTGGCTAAACGAGGGCACGATGGGAGGGATAGTCCGTGACGGTGAAACTGTGCGTGCGATGTTAAAGTGTTTGTGCCAGCTTTTGCAATAGCAATATTGATCTTTTGCACTTGAGCAGATGCACTAAAATGGTGCACATGAGCAGAAGATCGATAGTGCTTTAACGTTTGAGTAGGCACAAACTTCCTTGGTCTATGACCTCACCTTATGAACAAAATCCCCAGAATCACAAGGTAATCGAATGGAATGGAAATGGGTCTTCTTATCTGGACCTCAAGAATTTGTAAGTGATATTAGCTTCTACTCCCAGAAAATTACAGAATACAAGGGGGATTCAAAAAGTTCTCAGAACGGTTGCTCAGCAAGCTAATGTTATAGCTTTTTGCATGTACACACACACAACCCAACAAACACACACGCCCCAACACCCCCCTAACACACACACTCTCACATGCTCTCTCTCTCTCTCTCCCTCTCTCTCTCTCTGTCTCCATTGTTCCTGCCATTGTACAAAGCAGCAGTGGAAGACTTCTTTTAGCATCTGTCATAGCTGAGCTATCACATTCGATTTGCTGTCATCATGGTAGCAAAACCTCCCCCATTGAGGCTCATTTTCAGAATAGGGAAAAGCCAATAGTCACTGGGAGCGACATCCAGAGTACGGTGGTTGAGGGATGACAGGAACGTTCTCTATGGCAAGGAATTTCTGTACAAGCAACGTAACTTGGCGCATTATTGAGATGCAGATACCACTTTCATTGCGATTTGGCTTGTCATTTTCTTCGAATCACCGAATCACAATCTGTTGGAGAAAAGTCGGGTCCTTTGTACTTCACTCAAACAGCTCGCCAGCAGTTCCCATATGAGATTCCATCTGAACCATGTTCAGCTCCCTCAGAACAAACTTCACACTGTTGTGTCTCATCTTCAAATCATTGCATAAGATGGCATCAATTAATGCCACAGATAACAGTTTTGTGCACCAACTCTGCAATTGTCATCCTTCAATCATGTTGCTTCATGTAGGCAATCTTTTCATACTTTCGGGATGTTGACAGTCTCCAGCTGCTCTCGTCATCCTGTAATGTCTCCTGCCTTTTCTTAAACTTTGAAAACAGTCATAAATTTTGATTTATTGTTGGTGCATTATCACCATAAACTTGTTGCAGGGCCAATAGCATCTCTGAAGCTGAACTTCCCAGTTTCCACATGAACTTGATGTATGCACGCTGTTTGTCCTATACTGTGCTGACAAGCCACCTCTACGCGATACAATGCAGCGACACATCTGTGCAGTGAAAGACGTCCAGATCACATTTGCCTGCATGTGAACATTCTCAGCTTTCTACCACAACAATGTGCATTTTATCTTATCGCTAGTTCAGTGACAGCTATGCAATTCTGGGAACTTTTTGAATGCCATTCGTAGGTCAATCACATTTGGAAAATTGATTTAATGGAGACATGTTCTTGGGATTAAAACAGTACTGCAAGTTGATATTTTATCAACATTTTAAAAATATAAAGTATTTTAAAAACATACAGCACACCTTGCATTACCACTCCTGGAAATACAAAAGAAACAAAAATAAAAAGTTTGTACATAAGACAATTTTAATACAATCATATTTATGTACATAAAATTAACGATAAAATTTTGTCCATGATGTACGTCAGTTCATCAAATGTACAAAGTTGCAATAAAAATAAGAATTCTCTCTTCAAATTCCCTCACATAATACTTTGTTTCTACTAACACTTCACAGTCCAAACCTAGAGGGAGTTCGACGTGGTGTAACTGGTGTGCCAGGCTCTCGGACTCCGGGAGTTACAATTTCGGCCCTGTAAGAAATGAAGAGTAAATTAACCCACTGATGTAGCAAGTTTCAAATTGCCAACAATGCAGAAGCAGTATATTTTAGAAATATGTTAAGAGAATGAAATCAGTATAATTTTGTGTAAAGTTTAAACTCACTCTTTAGACCCAACTTAAAAAATGTGAAAATCAGTAATTCTTCACCTTTTGTGTTGGTATTTGAAAAATAACTTAATTTAAATTTATTTTCCCTTTTCTTCTTTTCTTCTTCGGCTTTATTTTCATAACAAACTAGCAATAAAGTAATTTGGGTTAAAAGCATGGGAAATTATGCATTGGTCAGCCCCAAAGATACTTTATGTTTGCCTTCTAGAATGGTCAAATTCGTTCAAGCATGATGTGCAATGATTGTGTTAAATTTCCCTAATGCAGGTCAGTAAAAGCTAAATTTGACTAATTAAAACTAATCTTAACAAAGGGACTTTGATAATGTTTACATTATAATAAATTATACTGTAATCTCGTGTTTTTAATACGAATAAAAACCCCAAGAAAGTGAATAAAGAACTTACGTTCGGGCACCTAAGTTTTGTCGCTCTTGCTCCTCTTTTTGGGCTCGCATCTGCTCTTGTGCTATTCGCATTTGCCCTTCCATTTCCTGGAGATGCTCCAAAGCCTGGCGTCTCTTTGCACGGCCTGACCTCCCAGTCTCTTTCACAGAAAAGAACATCGGGCCTAATTCTGCCAGCCAATGACCATCCACAGCTGTTACACACTGCATGTATTCCTGGAAAATGAACAACAGAACACTTATCACAAACATGAGTATTAACTTCAAACATATGAAAGGTTTTCTAAATAATCAAATAAAATTAAGATGGGTTGTTCTTATTCAAGGACATAGTTTTCTTAGCCAAGCACAGATATGAAGATAAAATTTTTTTCAAGTACCGTTTCATAGATAGAAGTGAAAAAAACAATTTGAGTAAAAGCAATGATGTATGTCAAATTTGCCAGAAAACTTCTAATGTTTGGTATAACCTGTACCTCCATACTGAACTACAGATATTTAAATTTAAGCAATACGATTAATGCACTTTCATATTCGGGGAAATAATTAACTAAAGCTAAACAGTATTTAAATCACATACCTTTGTTGTCATTATAAGTTCATGGTACACCACATAATCTGGGGTGAAACCCATGCCAAACAGAGCAGAAGTAGGGTGTAGATGACATGGCATGCCTGTTCTACAATTCACATATTCTCCTATACCTTTTAGTCGTGCTGCTTGGTGAAAGTAGGCTATCCACAAAAATAAATAACAAAATTTGAAGTTTTCAATTAATTATACAAATATTTTTATAATTAATTATACAAATAGTTTAACTAATTATCTATGTCCAACAGAAAGAAAGAATTGATTCCAATTCCAGCTATCAACAAGAAATTATCAAATTCTCCTTTTAGTGAATTCACAAACACTTATTTTTGTTTCAATAAACATTACTGTTTGAAAAGGTACATTTCTCAGTGAAACAAATACTACAAGTATTGTACTATACTATATGCATTGGAATTTCAACACTGCATGAGTTTTAATGTTTTTATTTTATTTTTATTTTTTTTTATTTTTTTTTTAAATTATTTTTTTTTAACCTACATGCTTCTTGTAAATTAACAATCAAATGAAAAGATTTGTTATAAATTGAAGTAGTCAAGACATCACCCAGTTCAAACAGGGAATACTCATTTTGGAGAAATTCCTTTGTATACTTTAGAAATTAGTGGTTTGCAGACAGATTAAAAAAAACAAACACTTTTTCAGTATCTAAGACTCCAGAAATTGGGATTCTGACAGCACTACACATACAAAAATTAAATATATTTTGTATTGAAGAAAAATCCATGTTTTGGCATCAGAGTCACAAAAAATATATTTTCCTGTTAACAAAATTGGCACTTTTTCCTGCTGAATTACATAACTGTCTCTACAGTGTATCCAGAAGCTCCCATTCCAAAAATATACCCCAGAATCTGTGTTGAATTTCATACTGTGATTGTAAGTCATTTCTGGGCGTGAAATTCAAATCTACTGCTGCGACAAAGAATTCTCTTGTGGTAATGGGTATTACTTCATTTCTCCATGTCATCAATGAAACTGTCAAGTAATTGTCTTTGGCAAAAGCATTGCATGCTGCACACTAGAATACTTTAATACTTTTGTGTGTTCTATTCAATGCACTTTAAATGTTGTGTGTTCTAGTCATTCAAACTATTAAATATCAATAAATCAAAAGTAGTATGAACTTAGAATGCAATTTAATTCAAAATAATAAGTGAAATTATTATGGTATATAGCAGCATAAAATGAATGCTGAACATGATGTTGAATATAAACAATTTTGCTGGATTGCTCAAATTATTACATATTTGCATATCTTTAGTATGAACAATGTCATGTGCTTTAGATAGCCACACAAATGTTAGTATCCTGCAGTTTATTCTTAACATCATGACACATTAAAAAACAGTCTGTAACTAAAATGTTTCTTCATAAACATTTTTGAGTTCATTCATTACATTTGGGAAGGGAGTTTTAACTAATGCTTCAGGTCATAATTTATTTGCAGGTTAACTAATGCATTTACAGGAGGCCTATGTGCAGTTCCCCAATCCTATTTGGTGTTTGAGATTAACAGAGGCAAAATGGTATCACCATGTGATGTTGAAGAATAAAATAGCATGCCTTTTGTTGGTGCAAAAGATAAAAACACTGAGAAAAAGATTCTGTGATTCATGCACTGGTACACACACTACTTTCATGAAACTTACATTCTTGCATGCAAACTAGTATGTTCGGTCATGTTACATAGGGTTAAAGGATGTGTCTGCAATTAGTAGTTGGTGTAATTGTGTACATTCCCATTGCTGGATCATGTCGCATTGTGACTTGTATCGGATTGCAAATAGACATTTGAAACTGTCACCGTCGCCAAGGGTAGCACCAGCCATCAGTTTCCCGTGCACCAACTGAAGGAACAGTAAGACTCAGGATTGGGAGCATGGTCATGGCTGGATAGGCACCTGCACAAAGCCATCCCCCCTCCCCCTGCATCATCTTCAACGTTGTTGACGACGTCAACAGACACTAAAAGACAAGTGCTGTCAAGGCAAATCAGTATAGTTATCTAGAAGATTAAGTGCAATAAGTGATTACACATCATAAGTGACGGGTCGAATGCACATTCAACCTAGAGAATGGGATAATTGAAGTCATTTGTTGCAACTTCCATTCCACAGAGTGAGTTTTGTAAAGCATTTTTAAGTTTACTCCTTGCAGAAGCATCATGTCTGTGCACATGATTACCTTAAGCGAGAATAATATGATGGGTGGTTTAAAGGGAGTTCAATTGACTTTGAATACCTATTGTTTTCAAAGAACAACCTTTTTTGTCAGGAGGGGGAGCAACCTTCATCAGAGGGTGACTACTGCTATCTATCAATTACCAAATTTCAGCTATCATTTATCAGGTTATCTCAAGCAGGCTATATTGTTAGCTGGACGTGCAGAAAATGAAACTATTGGAAGCATCAGTTTTAACTCTGAACCTTCCAGCTTCCAACAACGCATGCTAGATCCAAAATGAGTTTTATTGTGTGCAGTGATATTAAAAATAGTCTGTAGGGTGGTATCATTTATGGAGCCACATATATAAATAGAAACATTACGATCAGTGTCACATCCGACAGGAGCGTTCCAAATGCCAGCGGTGGAAGTAGGAGGGATGAAAGGAGCTTGGGAGGGGTAGTGTCATGAGGTGGGTTGGCGCTGAGGAAAGCAGGAGCAGTGCAGAGTGGGGGCAAGTTGGTCGCGAAGGAATCAAAATTGGTGAGACAGCAGGAAAGGAGATGTGAGTAAACAGTTGGAGAACCTCACGCTGTACTGAGAACTGAGAGAAATCTCATACTACAATCTACTAAATATGTATAGTAAGCGATCTTACATTAAATCCAATTATTCATTCGGTACAATTCACTAAATATGATTTTGCTTTGTTTACCAAATCAGAAAATCATAAGTGAAGGAACAAAGAAAATTGTTAGTGGCACTAAAACTGTTTTGTAGATGAAATCATTCAGTGAGATTTATCTTCTTTGCCTTCCAACTTGCTTAACTAGCACATGTTCTCTGAAATATGACCAATTTGAATGGTTATAGAGCCCATGTGAACTCTGAAAAATCAACGCTGCATATAGTATTATTCATTACATAAACATTATGTTTAGTATTTTATTGAATTTAAATAAATGTATTCTAAACTAATAGCAGAAATACCATCAGAAGCCAAACGTCAGCAGCCTGTATCCGTTAACACTCTGCTAGGCTAGGGTTTGTCATGTTACAAAGGTTAAGGAAGTACAACTCCATGGAACTGTTGGATGGGTGACAGCAGAACTCCAGTAGCAACTTGGCTGAAGGGTCAGAAATATTATCTTTCATATTTCTGCTTAATAAGGCTTGCTCGGCAGCGTTGAGTAATTTATGAAACACAACTATTTGTTTAGTAATTTTCATTGCAAATCTGTTTATTAAATATTATGATCTGCCCAGTGAACGTTACTATATGTGCATTAGTTTCGTGAATGTGCAGCAGTTTTGTGAATGTGATTACACGCTTTTTTATTTAAAAATATATTATACCTCAGAGTTCAATCTACTATATGATTAATTGTATGATCTAAACATTTCTCTCAGTGTGTAAGGAAGGTGATGACTGCAGCAATGGTCCTACTACTCCACGACATGCTCTTGGCCAGGCCTCACCAGCATTGCCTATGTCAGCCTACCACTAACAGTTCATAGCAGCTAGGCGCTGCTTGCCTTCACACTGCCGGGTCGCTATGACTCCCCGGCACACGCTCGCCAGGCTTTTGCAAGTGTGTACTTGCCACTGTTCCGTCGCTGTCGCCATGGCGCCCCAATGCACTCTTGACATGTGAACACGACTATGCCTGCCCTCCCGACTAGCATTCATGCTCGACGTTTGAGTGGATAAAATTTTTGATTGGTTTTTGAAGTGAATATACATTTGTTTTGTAAAAGAGACATTCCACCTTGATTTCTTTTCTTTTTGGTTAAGGTGACTTTACAGAAGACAGGAGAACTTGTGAACATCTCGCTGCCCTGCACACATGAAGTGGGCAGTGCAGTGACATCAGAATGAATTCCAGGAGATTTGTTTATTTTCATACATCTTGTAGCATTCATTTTTGTTGAGTTTGGTTGAGTTTTAAATCCAATTTTCTCGAAGTCAATTGAAAAAACAGCAACTGGAACTGCCATTTCCCACAAAATTCCACATAGAATACACAGAACATTTTTGAAATTAGAGTTTCTGGACATCCTGTATGGTAATACTTGATAAGAAAGTAAAGAAGGGAGTTTAATAGAGTCAAAAATAAACTAAAAAAGAGTTAATGCACATAAATCTATCTATGAAAGTAAAACTTCATATAAGTAAAATAAAAAATTACCTGAACAAATGCATTTCCTTATTATATCCCATTCAGTGCCACATGATACAACTTCAATTTTTTGCTGTACAAGAATGTCTTTTAATTGTTGTCGTACTTCACGCACCTTTCGCATAGCCTTTACGTGAATGAAATGATCATTGCACCAAGCTGCTGAATAGCTGTAAAATAAAAGAAAATAATTTTTAAAAAGAGTAAATGAAAAAAAGAGATATTATTGCTATATAGTTGCTAAACCATTGTACGCAAATTTTATTACATTAAATTACAACTGAAAATTGCTCCAGATTTTTCTATAACAATGTTAAGCCAAATTCTCACACCTAAACTAAAACTTTGAAATCTAGAATAACAAAGACAAAATCAGGAATATTTTAAGGAATAGCCACCAAATCTACTGTGAAACAGAAATAAGTCAATTAACCTGCAGTACATGATAATGATATATTTTTTTCAGAAAACATTATTTTCCAAATTACAATGGACATGTCTTTTAATTGTCATAAGCAAAATCAATTCAGAACTGCAAAATTGCTTATCGGGCAATTTTTTTCTTGTTAGCATTCTTGACAACAAGAATGACTATTGCAAGTGGACCAGCAGCAACAACAGGCACAATGAAAGAAGCACCAGTAATGTTTCAGTCAGTAGTTTAAGCTTTAATGTCATTTTCCTCTCATCCTGATGCGACACCACTAATGATCTGTTTCATAAGAAAGATGTATAGTACCACACATTACTCCATATATTTACGGAAGTATTAATACAAGATATACATATATAGAGTATACATGTACAGTACATCCGACAACGAAGAGTGAACAGTAGCTTCAACTGATCTTCTAGAAGTCTCCTTCCCAGTACCTAACAACAGGGAAAATTGTCACTAATGGGTCGAGATGAGAGCCATGTCAACAAATCAAAGACCATAATCAGAATGAAGGACAAGGATGAACGAAAGAGTGACATATACAGACGCTGTGGGAGGATGAAAATAGGAGGGGGGATGAAAAAATTAGAGTGGAATGATAGTGGTATGATATTTTGAAGAAAGTAAAATCATTCATAAATTATTAAAGTAAAGGCATACATAAGACAAAAAATACAATCAGAAGAGCAAAGAAGAATAAAAATGGAAAAAATCAGAGTATCTAAAAAATGCATTCTGGATTACTTAGGTGCAACTTTAGTTTTAAACAGAACATTGGTAAAAATATAAAACACATTATTTGTGTTTATGGTCAGGTGAATTTTAATTTGAGGGGTCTCAGATATAAAATAAGGATATTTTCTAACTCCCCTACCCCTACAGGTTTCTGGAAATAAAGTATGTAACACGTTAAGCCTATGTCAAAAAATGGAATTTAGTCTGAGGTGAGTATTCACAACAGGAGAGTCCAACTTGCAAGGCCTCAAGGCCACAAACCTTTATATTGTGGATTGTGGATCATATTTTCATTATCAGCTATCCACATGTAACTCATTATTGTTAATCTTGGCAGTTTGCCCGCTGCTCGGGAGGGGGAGAAGGAACCATGTGTGATATCAGGCCATACCATGCATAACGCAGAGAAATGCATTGGAAAGATTTTGTATTTCTGAATTTACTACCCCCCCGTCCAAAAAAAAAACCACTTTAAATCTGAACTTTACTGACTTTTACATTAAAGGGTGTTGATCCTGACATTGTGATAGGGTGCATGCGCTAGGCGCACAAATGTTCTTGCAAGGGACTTTCATATATTTCCAATATGGATGCAAGGGACTTTCATATTTGACTAATAACCTTTTGCAGGCCACAATAAATGGTCATATGTGGCCTGCCAGTTGGACCACCCTAATCTATAATATTGTTTCCATGTTCTTTCATTCTGTGACTGATACATCTTTTCATTTGACCTAAATACATTAATGGACAATTTATACAAAGTATACAATAAAGCACATTTTCCATGACTAATAATACTTTTAGATGGATGTAGGCCAAATGAAATGGCATATCAGATAGGATGAAAGAATATGGAAACAATTTTTCAATATATAACTCAAAATTACTCCAAAACTACTTACATTTGGAAAGGGGAAAACAAATCCAGCTTCAGTATTCAAAGTGAACAACAGATTTTTTTTTTAGAGAAATTAACTTTCGAAATTTTTGAAATTTCAGGGATTTTAATGATAACTATGCTAATGATCATGAATAAATTTCATAAACACAAAAATCTCCATCTTCAATAATGTTGTTGTAGAATGGGGTCCTAACAATTCTGAACTTTTGCAATTTCTGAGTTTTGAATGAAAATCAGTCACGCGTCATTTTTATATGCATACTTTGCTCAACTTATTTTGGTAGTTTTGCAATTAGCGTTTTAACTTTGAAGCAATTTTTTAAAACATTCTAAAAATGTCTCGGAGGCTCTGCTTAAAATATCCCTAAAAATTAAAGATCCATTTTTAATTTGCAGCCCTGCAAATTAGATCAATCAAAGAATATCCATTTTGGTGAAATTTTGTGTGTGGTTTGGGCACTAGTGTTGTTCACAGACAGACAGACTGGCAGAAGGACAGATGTTTGATTTTGGCAGATGTTTTCTCTGGCACAAAAGGGAACTTAACTGGTGCACTCTAAGAGGCCTCGTCCTCTGGAGGACATGGAGCCACCCAGATGCCCACCTGCTCCTGCTTCCCATTTTTAACACAGACACTTGCCATATTTTTGGAGGAAGCCCTTGGGTTCATCTCAGTACTATTTTACTATTTTAAAGGTAGCAGAGCAAGTTCACTCATTGTGCCTTTCTGTTGTAGCACTATCTCCTGTAATGGTGGAATGGTAGAAAAAGATGGATGGATTTGAAGAGAGACCCACTGAACTAAAATACACAACCAAACTTCCATGCCTGAGGGGGGATTTGAATCGATGACCATTGAAACTGAGGAAGTTAAGCCACTACTGCCTTAATGACCTCGGCTAACTGGGTTGGCTCTGCAGAAATGTGTATTTCCATCAAAATTTAGACACTGATTTATTTGCAGTATTACATCACTTTCTCTAGGCTACGTATTCAAGAAAGTAAAATTGTAGTTTACCTTCCATAAAGAAGTTTAACCTAACAAAGAATTCTGGTGCAAATAAATCATATTTTTTAATACCAAACTCATGTTTAAGTCAAAGAAGAAACAAATTAATTGCAGTGGCACATAATAATTTTAAACTTCAAACAGAAGAAAGTATATGGTAATATTCTATAGATTACATCTAAAGTTATTAACTTATTAACTTACTTATTTGTTTTCCATTGGTTATAAACATTTAGATATGTGAGATGGTCAGACTCAGGTACTTGAAATTTTTCTCGAACGGCATCAGCTTCTTCCTCCCGCCCCTTTGGTCTGTAGAAGATTGAAGGAACCGACAGCATGGAAACTGTAACATGCACATACACATTCATTAAAAAACAATTTCTGTAAGACTTTCATTTTACAATTTTTCAGCAACAGCATTGAAGGAAGAGGTATTTAAAAAGGTTTGCATTTGTATGTTCATGATATCTAATCCATTTTTAAACCTTTTCTCTCATAACAAAATGTTTCATTCTAAAATCTATACAAGAATTAATTTATAATAATTTTTAATGTATTTCTAATAAAATACATTGATTGCATTTTTAATTTTAAGTAAAGCACATTTCACATACAGATACAAAATTATATCAGATCATTGGCAATAATTGTTAAGACTTGATGGTAATAACAATATACCTATTATAAGAATATCAGCAGAACATCCCATCTGACAGGAGACTATGAGCATTTGACATTGTGGTGGATCCAGAGGGAACTCTGCCATTTGTCGGCCAAGAGCCGTCAGCGCACCGGTGTGATCCAAAGCTCCAAGAATCCACAACTGATAGAGTGAGTTGAGAATATTATCCTGAAATTGGAATTAGAGCCCAGAAAGATTATTTAAAGAGCAGTTTTTGCCCTTAACATAACATGTACTTCAAAGATTTCCTGAAATTCTGTAATTCTCCATTTTAACAAGAGATAAACTAACCTGTGGCGGAGGATCCATGAAATGAAATTGTAAAAGATCTTGAACTCCTAAAGATTTCAGAAGAAGAACAGTGTTGGCCAGATTTGTTCTCTGAATCTCCGGAACAGTAGTAACCAGTAATTCATCCTTGTATTGCCTTTCTGTGTATAACCTAAAAGTACATTATTCACATCATGAATTATCATATATTCTAACAAAATTGAGTCTAAAGAGAGACTGGAAGATCTGATACATATTTAATTCCAACACATTCTGGCCAGGGAGACATATGCAAATAATGCACATTTAACCATTTGTGCAGGTATACAACCCAAAGGAAACTACAAAGACACTCTCTTTGATTCTCTGCACAATACTACACACAAGCTACTGATATTTGCCAGATGTTTCCGGTATGCCCAGGGAACACACGCAGACTGTCGTAAACCATTAGAAAAGCCACAGTCAATCGTTAATTTAAAATTGAAATCCTGCAATGCCAAAGCTGAGAATCATATCTCATACACTGACTTTGGAATTGCTTGAACTGGAATATTCCAAAGCAAAATGGTTGATCGTTGGTAATTATATTTGCTTAATGTAAGATGAACACATTGTAGCTTGGCAAGCAATCCCATTTTTGAACCCTACATCATTTTATGAAAAAAACTGTGCATGAGCATTAGCTAATACAATAGACTTCCTGAATACTTTAAGAAATGATGATTACATGCTGAATTTGATATTTTCCAACTGTGATAGCCACTTGGTTACTGAAGCCTCTGAAACAATTGTGAAGGCTGACAAATTATCACCCACTGTTAAGTTTTCATTTTGTTACTCTAGAATACCAAAATTACATATAATGTGATAAGTGGATTTACGACTATTCTTTGATTACTCTTCTCCAAACTACTATTCAGTCGACTCCGGTTGTAGTGAACTCGGATATAGTGAACTTAAAAGTCACTGGTCTCATTTAACTTACATTACAAATAAGCATAAGAATATTCGGTTATAGTGAACCTGAACATTAGTTATAGGAAATACAAAAACTTGGAAATTAATCCCCCCTCCTGGAAAAGAATATGTTGCGTCAGTTTCACAAATTCTAATGCTAAGCAGCTTGAAAAAATATTGGCCAAAGATCATAATCAAAGTCTCCCCGAAGGTGAACGTAGCTGACAAAATAGGGACCTTCCTGATAACCTCATGCCACACAAGTTTCAAGCTCGATGTTACACGCGATATTCATAAGCACCATGAAGCACATTACTGCCATAGCCTTCTAATACCCATCATGAGGTGCAGAAAACATTCAGTTTCATTACCCATTGCGTCCTGTGGCTACTGAAAGGATCTCATAGGTTATTAGGCCAGTAAAATAACCTTTGAAGAGTGGAGCTTCCAACAGTGCACGAGGCATTGAAGGATGTCACGACTGCATTATGATACTTTGAAACACTGGAATAATGCAGGATCAAGTATGGCGATAACACAAACACTGAAGAAGGATCTAGAGAAATTACTAATAAAAAATATACAAAGCAAACAATTGAAATTTATTGATTTTTTAAGGCGAAATAAAGATATAGAAATTTTTTAGTTTGTGCTGTTAATGTATTTTCTGCATATCTACATATATTAATAAAATTAATCATTGTGGAGAAATTCTATTTAATTTTTATATTCTCGGACTTAGTGGACCTCTGATATAGTGAACCAAAAATGTTAGACCCCAGAAGTTCACTATAACCAGAGCCGATTATTTCACATTATCTAAGCAATTTACATTCTAATTTGATATCTACTCATTTTGATCTTGATGATTCTGTTCAGTTATTTTATTCTTATGCACCTTAACAAAAGTTGGTAAAACCAATGTTCCCATCCTAATTAAGTTAAATGTGGAAAATTTCAGTAGTTACAAAGCTTTTCTTTATAATAACTTCATGAATAACAAAAATTGTGCTGCCCAAAATTCACACAGTATAAAATCCCAGAATAAAATGGTGACTATAAAATAAAAGGGGAAAGAATAATAATCTAACCGAAAGCACTGCCCAGGTCCAGTTCTTCCAGCTCTGCCTGAACGTTGATTTGCATTGGCTTGGCTGATGGGGTATATCTGCAAAGCATCCATTCCAATGCGAGGGTTGTAGACCTTTAACTTACAATATCCTGAATCTACCACGAACATTATACCATCCACTGCAAAAGCCATACAACAACACTTTACAAATCTGCTCTTCAAATACATGAAATAAACTATTTCTTTTCATCACAGAAAATAAGTGTAAACATTTAAAATTCTAGATTCTTGAAAACACAAAACTGGCTCAACAATCTGGGTTATTTTTTTTAAGATTTATTCTCTGTAATAGGAAGTTGCTGTCTCATACCAATAATAAAGAAGCAATGTCAGAATTAGCAATCTTACATTACAAAACAGCTTTTTCCTGACTATCAAACCAATGTAATCTTACATATTCTATAATTGCTGAAAACAAAATTTTGAAGGGAATTTATATCCGGATTGTAATTGTTAAACCACTGAAATCTACATTCTTGAAGAAATTTCCTTGCAACTCAAATATTGTTCAACTTGCAGACAGTATTCTACAAAATGACAGTGATGCATTAGTTAATAAACCATTTCTGAAGAAAATGTGGAAGTCTTTTAATAACTGGCATTTTTCTGATCTTAACTCATATTTCATTAGGCATTAATTCTTAAATCCTACATCAATTCTCATCATGAGAAACTGTCATTATTTAACTCTGCTTCCCCTGGGGTTTTAGGCTAAAGGAACAATTTTAACCCTATAAAACACACCCCTCCCCCCAAGGGAGAACATTTTAAGGAGAATCCTATTATCTTTTCAGAAAATGCTGTGCTGACTGGAAATCAAGCACAAACATTACTCAAGAAACTCAACACACTTTCCTCATCTGAATGATAGAGCAATAAGTTTTAAACACAAGTAAAATCTTCCTAGAAAATAGAGAGAGCTTAACTCCTTCACACTTTTGGGCCTTACAGTTCCTTAAAATACAGAAAATTAAACAGTCACTTTCATGCATGTAAATTAATCTAAACATTCCCAACATTTAGACAAAATCAGGAGAAAAAGATAACTAGAGTGAATTAAATTACTGAAATTAAACTGAGATTTTTAAATAGAGAAAACCAATTAAAAAATATCAAAATTTATTCAATTATTTTCTCTTAGCAGATTGCTTACCTGTCAAAGAGGTTTCTGCAATGTTTGTAGCTACAACACATTTACGCAGACCTCCCTGGGATCGTTGAAAAATCTTTGCTTGTAAATCTGATGGTAATTGTGAATAGATAGGTAGTACAGATAACTGGGGAGCATTGTCAATTTCTCCAAGACGTTCTGCTAAAACTTCACATGTTACTTCTATGTCTTCCTGACCAGGCATGAAAATTAATATATCACCTGCACAGATACAATATATTTCAAAAACAATTTACTTTCACATTTAAAACAAAACTTGAATGTTCTTTGACACTGATATTCACAGCTATTGATCATAACTCAGTACTTACATGTTTTCATAAGTAAAAGAGCATATAATGACTTCATACATTTATCAAACAGATTAGAATACACTGTTGTTAACACAACAGGACCAGATAAGTATCTATTTGATTTAACCAAATCATACAATTTGAGCTGAATGTATCACAAAAGAAAAGTAAAGATGAAGGAACAATACATTCTTATACATTCTTGATATAAAATACCTAGTTCTTTCAGCAAAAGCATACTTGCACCTTATTTTTTAAGATGAGAGGGGGAAGAGAAGTGAGGAAAAAGTGAAAATAAAAGAAAGAGAGGGGAGGACCAAGAGAGCAACACACTAAAATACACACAGATATACACTATGAAAACAAAAACAGATAAGTGTGATGAACACTGATAGATATCTCCCAGTAAATAGCTCCATAAACACTGTTTGACAAGACAATGCTAACTTCTGAGTCCTGTCATAACAAAGAGTACTGCTTAGGGAATTAAATTCACTAAAACTATTACCTTCTTGTGGCTGTAAATGAATTTGAAGAGCTTGCTTAACAGCAGAATCAACGTAATCTTCCACTGGATTTTTACTGAAGAATGTATCAACAGGAAAGGTTCGACCAGGTATAGTGAAGGTGGGTACATTCCCAAAAAACATAGCAAACTTTGTTGCATCCATTGTTGCTGAAGTAACAATAAGTTTTAAGTCATGTCTTCGAGCAACCACCTACAAAATAAAAGCAAATCTTTTGTATCAAAACTATTCACTATATACCAATTAACACAATTTCCAGTTAATTGTTACATGAACAGTCAGCAAATATTATTACCTGCATTTGGAACTAAATTTAATACCCAACAAAACACTAATATTCATTTTACATATGATGAGAAAAGATAAACCTTGCTGAAATTCAAGGAAAATGTAAGCTAATACAAACAATTATCTCCACCAAAACAATATTGCATCATAAAACAATTATATCATATCTCTGCAGTATAGAGAGGGAACTTGTAGGTGGGCTAAGATAAGATAAGATTACCCAAGTGGGGTCATGCCCACTCTCATAATGCCACAACTTTCTCAACTACTCTTCACTTGGATGTTAATTTTGACACAAGTGCTTCATGTTCCTGCACATAACACTGTGGCTGCACTCAGGACTAACATCTAACACTCATTCTTAGTATGTAACAGAACTACAAATAGTTTCAAGTGATGTGTTCAAGCTCACAATATATTTGACATTTACCAGGTAAGTGTCTATGACCAGTGGCTATCTCGTTTAAGTGTTTTGTTGTGTTTCTCTTCATTAGCGTATCCTCTAGGGACAAGAAACGCTAATTGATGTGCCCTTGACAAACTCCAACAGTGCCTGCTCATTTCATTCACCATGGCAGCTAACGGTAAGTAATAATTAATTAACAAGCATTAAAATAAATTACTATAGAAACACTGCATCATACAACTTAATCATAAAGTAGGCAATAAAGTTAAAAACAAAAGGATAAAAAGAAAGATGGTAACAGAAATGAACACATTCAGAAACCCACTTCACTAAACACTAATATGTAAATGACATATTTTTATTGCATGAGGTTTATTGAGTAAAATTACTCAGTGCTTTTAGAAAACATACATATTTTAGCAGTTACAACATGGCAGCCCTCTAAAAACGTTAACATTATTAATTAAATAGTAAATAAATCATATAAAACCTTCCGTAGGACACAGACAAATAAAACCATTGAAATTCACTGTGATGAATTGCTCCAAATGGTTGTCACATGACGAGATGTCAGTTTTTTGTAATGTCATGGAATCAGGTGATATTCTGGAGCTAGAGTTGACAGAAGGAAATCATTGGGGCATTGGTCTAAGAATTCCAAATTCCCGTAAGTATATCTCAATTTTATTTTTTTCATACGATACAACAATTAAAAAAAAGTTTTTGTTCTGTTGCTTTACCCCAAATAATATTTTATTACTTCACAATTGTATTGTGACTAATTGCTAACTATTGAAAATTAATGATTATCAACAGAAGGTAAAGGTTCTGAAACAATTGAAGTGGCAAATTTGTTCTTAATGAAAGATAAAGACACAAAATGGATAGTTAAGAAAGAAAAACTGGAAGAATTTTGGCGACCAGGACTGCGAATACGAATCAACAATGAAAGTGATCGTACACAACAATACCATGAAGGAGATCAGATTCGCAAGCAAGTTGAATTTGTAAGTAGGAACAACTCTTCTGAAATTATATAAGTATTTCTTCTGTTGTTCTTTGCAATAATAAAACATGGTAAATGGGACCTTCCTTTCTTAATTGAAGGCACTTCAGTCAAAACAAAAGTGGCATAATCCTCAACACTTTGCACACTGGTGCCGACATGGAGAAGTCGTTCCTGAGCGCAAAAGACAAGGTAGTGATGTGACCAAATGGGGAAGCCTCTCTGCCACAGCAGGTGCATGGATGTTCATGAGAAGTCGAAAGAGACACAATACTGAATAACCTTCCCCTCTCCTAATACATTTGTTCCTTCATATACATTCTACAAACAGCATCAACTTTATTTCATATATATGTTAACTGTCATAAAACATAAGCAAGCTTTTTCAGGCTTGAATATTTGTCTTATTCTATTTATTCATGTATTTAAAAAAATATTTATTATGGAATTCATCTTTCACATTAAAGAAAACATTATCCTCAATTATTACTTGTTTTAAAAAAAATCATTAAATATGTTTGAATTGAATTTTCATCATTAAATATTTTAATTATTTAACTTTCATCAATCTTCAGAAGTCATTACAAAGAACTTTGTCATATAAAGTGTAACTTTCGATCAATAACAGAGACACTGAACACATCAAAAGAGAACCCTAAAGTGGATTTTTCTTTATCTAAATTAGTTAGATAGTTATAAAAAATTATTACAACAGAGTTTAGCACTTTCTTATTGAAACTAATCATTAAAGTTAATATTAAATTAACTTCATAGTTTGTTTTTATATTTCTTCCTTAATGGCAGTAGCAAAAGCTGATACTTACATACCATGCTACAATTTAAATTATTTTTGAATAAATTATATCATCTATATCTACACTTGAAACTTTATCGCAAATAGTAATTTGTTTTATCTAATTAACAATCTAAACTAGAGTTCATACAGACCAGTTTCTCTTTAAAGGAGTTAACTGACTAGCCCAAAACACAATCATGTGAGAGACAGTCAAAAACCCTATTAACAAATGATGTTCATGTTATCAAGTACACACTCAAGCAAAACTATAGCTTGTGTGTGTACTGGCATGCCACTGAGCCACCTAAAACCCTTCTTTCATATTGAAAACTGGTGGTAATTAATTCAAAATTGTGTCAATCAGTAAGCTATTAATACTTGTGCTAATACAAGCTAATAAGTGCTTGTTTGAGTCGTTGGATTAAAATAGCTTATTTTTTTGCGGTCTTGATACCAAGCTAGTACATTTATTTTGTAAAGAAAAATATAGGTGGCAATTAATTCAAAATCAAGACAATTAATTATTAAATTTTTGATCTTCTAATCTGGTTGTGGGGTCATGGCAGTTCCAGTTCGATATAGCAAAAAAAATATACATATCTTTACTTTTTGAAAATTCAAAAGCTTAAATAAAACAAGTTTTCTGCCATTGAATTCAGGACATTGTAACCCATTCTTACAAAAAAGTAAGAAGACAAATAAGTTTATTCAGGCTGGGAATTAAACTCCAGTGCCAAGGTATTCAAAGTTAGTTTTCTGCCAGTGCTACAACAGCTCTATAAGTCTGAGAGTGAGAATCAATTTTTATTGATCTATTTTAATTGTTCCAATGAATTCCAAATGTTTCTATGAAAATCAAACATATGCCATATTATTAAGCAAACTCTGTTCTCTTAGACAAAAAAAATTGGAAATTTGAAAGGAAAAAAAAAATAATTTTTTTTAAATTGTCACAATTTCATTCAAATTTTCATAAAAACAACCCATAATTTCAAAAAAGTGTACACAGCATTAAATAAATATCTAATTTTAAAGAGAATATTTAATTCAGAAAAAATCTATTTCTCAATAATGTAGTTGTAAGGCAGCTGATATTTGCCGGTTTGCAATTTTTGGAAATTGAGAGGTTTTAATCAGCCCTGCTCTATTATAAGCATTCTTTGTTCTATTAGAGCAAAAGATTAAGTGAATATTGTGTAACAGAGGCACCTTAGGCTCTAGTGCTGTTCAGAGACTGATGGCAGGTAGATATTTTGAGAAAAACCCTTCAGTAATAAGAACCAGCAAAACATATATTTTGATTATACTACATACATTTGAAATTACATGAGAAAGTAATGTACAGTAAAACTTCACATTTTTCAGGGAACTGAAGGGGAAAAATGAATAAGTGAGAAAAATGTGAGGAATATTACGAGCAAAACAAAAACTCAATATTTTTTCATTGGATGGCTCCACTCTTGGACCTGCTACCAATGTTTTTTTTTTTTTTTAATTTATTTAGTCAAATAACAGTAAAAATTGTACGTGATGTATGGGGGGAGAAGTACTGTCTGTGCACATATTCTTGAGCTCCAGAATCTCTTCCCCCAACATTTTAACTATAAATAGTTGAATGATGAATAAAAGTTTCAAAAAAATAGCTAAGTTAGCATCTTTTGAAAACCAGAGATTTTCTCACCCGAGTTACAGAAAAACATTTACATTGGTAAACAAACTACAGGTGTGTGTTTGTTTTCTGTCTAAAAAAATAGTAAGGCTCTACTCCTACCACTACTAGCAAAAGCTGAGCTCAACAAAATATGTGCATAAAGAAGCTTCATTTATGTTCAGAAGCAAAATAAGGGGCCATGTCAGCATTTAAACAACGGTTCAGGGAAACTGAATAACAACCTGATTGAGACCACAAGCCGAAATACTTTGTTACTTAGCAGACACGCAGGACAGTCATAGGCACGCCTTGTGTTAAAGATAGCACTGACATTCGCTACTTTATGCAACCAGTTCTTTAATAACATTTTAAATCTTTGATTTCTTTGAGTTTCAATATTTCCTTTACATTGCCGAATTTTTATTGTGCAATGTTGCTGAACACAATGCAAAGCCACACCCATCGATACTAGTGCCCTCATTTTTTCATCTTGTAATTTTGTCCAGAATTCCAAAATCAAGAGTTGAAACCAGTTGAAACACCCTGTGAAGTGACGAAATTAAACAACCTGAATACTGAATTCAACACAAATATTCCTGGGGCTCCTCTACGAAAATGCAAACATTCTCACTTACTGGTCACCTTGTCGTCATCATCATTTGGACGTAATACAGTCTTAAAGGGACTTTCATTATTAGGTTATAAGTGTAAACAATGTGTAAATGTAAAATACTTTAGCAAGGGAAGTACAGGAATTTATAGGGAATTTACAAAAAAAACTTATAAAAGTGAAAAATGTATAAGATGAAATCATATAAACAGTTTCACTGTACTGTGTACAGGAGAAAGAAATGTACAATTTCTGTATCATGGAACTACAAAACAAATCTTTGTAAAGCACTACATAACTAATTTACATTTACATTTAAAAGTTCAATAAAAAGCACACAAGCTTACCTCTCTCAACAATCCAAATAAAACATCTGTACTGAGGGACCGTTCATGGGCTTCGTCCATAATGATAGCACTGTAATTGTCCAAATCAGCTTCTCTGAGGGACTCTCTCAGAAGAATACCATCAGTCATGTACTTAATGATTGTTTTCTAAGGAAAAAATTATAATATTAATTTCTTACAATACTTCTATGGAAGCATCAAAAAAATATTCCTTCATTATGTTGTAAAACTGAGTAAAATTACATGAACTATGCCCATTTGGACTAAAAATTTGTTGAGAACTTCTGGAACTATAACAATCATTTATATTTACATCTGTAGTTAAATCTTATTATTTCTACTCTACTAACGTTCTTTTAATGTAATAATATTTATTGTTTAATGTAGAAAATTTTATAAATGTTTAAAAATGTAGATACACAAAGATCAGAATCAATATGAATACCCTGTCATGTCTACATGCTAATTCGAAGGAAAATTATATGTGTACTAGCGTATATAACATATTGAACATTTCAACATTAAACTGGCTGTGATCCTCAAATTTTCTCCTTGGGTCCAAACGGACCCATATAATTTCTATTGCACGTTATTTACTTTTTCAACGATTAAAATTAGGATACATATTAGGAAATTTCACAAGGAAATTTTAATTTTGCTTATGTATTTTATTTTTAAGATTGTGCAATAATGTAAAACAATGGTCACCTGTAGAAAATGCATGGTAGTAAATTAATGAATATAAAGCAAATAGAAAAATTATCTTTTTATTTGGCACACTGCAAAGCAATTTTGTTGTGTGCTTTGCAATACAAAAAGTCATGTTTCCGCTTTTCGAATAGAATCTAACAAAACTGAATTTGAAGTGTTGAATTATTCATTGGATCTCTTGTTTTCAATAAGGGTTCACTTTAAGTTCATGGCAGGCATGTTCTATGTTCACTAAGAGCTTTTTTTAAATCTGCATTTACCTCAACCCAGCGCCTCTTGCATTATTGTAAGGTGTTCTTTGAAGAACAACACTCTTGTTCTTTTTTGGCACAAATGACACTGATATTAGGTCTTTCGCAAAAGTGAAAGTAGAATAAGTAGCTTTCCATGCCTTTTGTCTAAAGAAGTTTTAGCGGTATAAATTTGTTTTCACACATTGTGCCAATGAGAGTGATGTCTTGTTTCAGAAGCTTCTGACCCAATATGATGTAAAAAAATTGTCAGAAGTTATACTGTGATCCTTCAGTCGTAAAGATATTTTTAACACAAATTTCATTCCCAGATTTTGTTGTTCAGGTTGCCTTAGTGAATGGTTGAACATTTCACAGTAACTTGTTTCTTTATCAAAAAGAAAACAACATTTCCCTCTGTATATCATAGATTGTTACATATAATCCAGGATTATACAATATCAGAAGAGGAAAAGTCACATCAGAATACTACGTTCAAATACTCGAAAGACCTCGATTGTTTCACCTTGGTACAGAGAGCTGCGATTTTGCCAGCGAATGGAGTAGACGTTCTTAGAAATTCGATAGCATGCTCGACAAAACATTGCCATTGTACACCTTATCAGAAGATAAAGTCACAGATGACAATGCGATCCTTCCATAGCTGATTAATACAAATTCGCTGAGTTATTATAAGAAATGTCTAACAACAGTTCAACCTCAGAAATGCAATGGGTACAAATGACCCAAGAACTAATGTGTGGAAAATATCATAAATCCTTATGAAAATAAATTAATAACATTTTCTATTTGGACTGATAACAGTCAAACAATAATTGGCAGGGAGTATCAGAACAAATGCTCAATGTTGTTAAGCAATACAAGAAATTAAAATTTCATTTGGGTTGAAATAGAACCGAGGACCACAGCAGGACCAGCAGCAGGTAGAAAAACAATGCTGATTGTACTGAAAAACAATTAACTTTTTATATTTTTCACCTGCAACTTCCACGTTTGAACATTATTACAAACTTATTACTGATATGAGATATAATAATGAAATTGATCTAATTGTCTGTTTTCACTCACCTCTGAAGTGCAATCTTCAAAACGAATAGCATATCCAACCTCATCACCTAAATGGGTACCCATTTCATCAGAGACACGTTTAGCTACTGACATGGCAGCAACACGACGAGGCTGGGTACAACCTATCATTCCATATCGACTATATCCATCTTCATGTAAATACTGAGTCAGTTGTGTTGTTTTTCCACTGCCAGTTTCACCCACGATTATCACAACACTATTCTCACGAATTACATTTAGAAGCTGTAATATCAATATTATAAATTTAGGCAAGACATAACGTAAATCGCAATAGCATAAAACCACTTGAACATCTGTGAAAAGTGCACTGGGTTTGGCTAAGTTTCTTTAATTTGGCCAATCACAAGCAAGATGTGAGATATTTACAAAGGATTTTTCCAATGGCATATGGTGAGCAAAATACCGATATTAGTCAAATTTCTGCATAGTAAAAGATGTAGAATTGTTCACACATCAGGATAGTAAAGACATTTTTTCACGGATCTTGAAATATGGATTACCATGAAATTTTCAAGAACAATCTTTTGCTCTAATATTTATTTTCTCTGTACTAATACTCTATACATCAGAAATTAAAATTTGTAGATTGTAATTGTTCACCCACCTGCAGAGACCAAAATATTTAATATTTTACTGCATTGTCAATTACTACAGAAGAACATTTAAAAAATAATTACCTCTTGACGAACTGCAAAAACTGGTAAATACCGCCGCTGTTCAAGAATTGTCTTCTTTTTAGCAAAATCACTTGATGCTTCTTGTGTATCTTTCATGTGTTCAGCGAATTTCTGCCCAGTCTTGTAATCAGTTTCTTCAGGTTCTTGCTGCTCCTAAAATTTCATTAACACTTCTTTAATTAGTTCAGAAGGAAAGAAAAAGAAAATTATTTGAACACAAGAAAAACTAACCGATTCTTCTTTCTTGGGTATCCCCATGATATTGCCAATTGTAGTTCCAGCTAATTCCCAATGTTTCTTTTGAGCTTTCCTTCGCTCTTTCTGTTCTCGATATGCACGCACTAGCGGAGAACCTTTGCGAGCAACCATGGCCATGTCTGATGTGGGATCCTAAAGAGAATTAATTGCCATCAACACCATCAAGAAAGAAAGGTATTTGCACATATCCAGGAAAATGTTACAATATAGTGATATATTAATATCAATATCTATATCTATAGATATAGATTTAAATGCTTCCTTCATGTCACAAACAGTTATTGTCAATCTACAGATGTAATAAATGGTTGTGTAGTTGACTAGTGACTGGCACGAAAATACTATCATAACTGCCTTTTTTCTGCTGATACAAAATTCACATATAAAAACACTCCCTATATTCTAATGCATTCCTCAATTTTAAATACAATGGGTTACAATTCGCTTTGCTATGTGATCTTTCCTAGTTCCCATGACGAAAAATTTTGACTTATTTCACTTGCAATTTTCAGCCATGAAAAAGCCCACTATGATTAAAAGATTAGTTCTGCCTACGAGATTTCTAAATAGGGCTTACATAAAGGCAGGACTTAAGAGCAGGGCAGACTAAAGTACAGCTCATAGACAGGTTCCATCATCCAATAATGTTTCATCTGACAGTATTGCTTTCAAACTAAGGTCTCCTTAAGACAGTCGCACACAAATTCAAGAGTGGTGATGATGAAGATTCTGGTTGCAGGGAAGATGGATGGGTGTGCTATGAGAAACAGGACATACTCTTAGATATGAAGATGAAGATAATTAAAATACACAGGAAATTTAGATATCTGCGATGATTATCACCTTCCATCATTTGAAGATTTTGAAGAAATTTATTCTGACTTGCACAAGCATTCATATGTTAATGCAAAGTTACAAACATTACCAGACAATAAAACCTTTTAGAAGTCTGTTGTGGAAAGTATTTCTGAGCTAATTCTTAATAAGAATGGGTCTTACCAAAAATAAACTAGATTTCATTTTATAAATTACACTTTTAATTTGTCAAATTTGTTCTTCAAAGAATAAAAAATGACACATATAAATCTCTCCAAATAAACAAAATTAGTTATTCTATTTAAGATCTTCATTTTTATAATAATTTTTCATTATGTTCTATGATAATAGTTTCTTAATTCATTTCATACATTCTGCTCTTGGAAGGTTTGGAGAGGTCAGCTTTAGTGCATAACTTACATAATACTTTCTTAATCTTAAAGAGCAAAGCTCGCTTTAAATAATATAAATAAAAACATCAATATGTACTCACTCTAACAGGAACAACAGGCTCTGGTTGCTTGGTAAATACAATGCGTCCATCTAAAAACGGTGGAACAATATTATGAACTAACAAATGCACTCTGTCAACATTTTCTTCATCGAAATCTTCATCAACATCTACTTGATGAACCACTCCACTGGTCAGCATACGATTACGCTCCCACAATTCATTATCCTAAAAGAATATTAACAGAAATTATGCTCAGTGAATATCAGAAAAATTACACTATTTATCAATATTTTTAAAAAAATTGTTATTTACTAATAATGTAAGCAGTTAGCAGGACTTTTACTCTAATGTGCATGCAGTGTGTTCAGAAAGTTTCTCCACAATGGCTTCCTAATTGATTGATTAGCTGATTCCAGGTATGTCAACAGCTAAGGTCATTAGTCTCATAAGTCCAAGGCATGTTTTTATTGCGGGAGGTGGCAGTGATCTTTTCCCACTGGCTGGTGAGATCTGTATCAACCTACATGTCAGCTTGCAACGTGTTTCCCTAACCAAGTAACACTCACTGGGTGGGGCACCACCCAGCCGAGACAAGTTGGGACTCTCAGCTCACAACTGGTCTCCTGGCATGTGTAGTGTATATAAATGTGTGTAATAGATGAGAACATGACAAGGGAGAGGAAGGAGAGATTGCATGCAGTCAGTGGCCTGATTTTAAGGATAGTGCTCTGGCATTCACCTGGTTTTGATCAGAGAAACGATAGAAAACTACCGGTCAGAGCTGCTGGCTGCTAGAATTCTCCTTCAGGCAGTGGCTGGTCTCGACCTAGCTATGTAGCCAGCCTCAAAAATTCTGCCACCATTAGGATTTGAACTCTAGAGCCTCCTGATCAGACACTGCAGTGGCATCAACCAGATCATCATTCAGTGACTCAGTCAAATCCTTCATATTCTGTTATTCTCACTGCCCAGGGCAGCTGGGGAACCGAGTTGAGAGCAACTCTTCAAGGCCTGTACAGGAGAGGCTTAGAGTGGGATACTGCCTCTGTCCATCCACAATGAAATGCACAAGTGCAACTATTCTCTCAATTTTCTAGGCAACAAGTATTCCTGTATTATTTTTGTTATTAATTACTGTATTATACACAACACTTAATTAATGTTTCTAGTCAACAGAGACTTTCCCAATTTTCTGCTGCATTTTCCTACTGCTCATTTGCAGCAATTTCAAAACAATCTCTTTCATGAGTTCTTGTTCTCATGAATGCAGAGTTAAAATCACTATTTCAGTAGTGTGTCAGTGAAGCAATCCGCCAGCAGATTGAAAAGGTGAGAGGGGAGGCAGTGGCCCTTGCAAATGACAATCAAATTTTCAAGGCTGCAATGCCCTGAATCCAGATCATCATTCAGGTTTGGTGTGAACTAAAGGAAAGACATCATTCCTGAAAACGAATGCCCTTTCCTAAGAAAAAGGAGGTAAAAGGCAAAGCAGCCACTGTGGAGAAACTTTTTGAAAGCTCTGTATAAAAATGCACAAGGCAATTGGAAAAAAATAAAAAAATATAAACTTATAAAAATTCTGACATTTTTAACTCAAAAGGGAACTTGAACAAAGAATTACACGTACTGGATTCTATATTATTGCAAAGAATGATGTTGAACACCATTTATATGCATACACTTGGGTAAACGGAAACTGACCAACACACAAAGTAGATTCTTAAAACTTGCCTTGTTAATTTGTCTCTGTTGTGCAGACATCCTTTTCCTCTTTCTTTGTTCGAGCTGTTCCTCTTTTTTCTTAGTGTACTCTTCACTTAAGTTAGAAAAAGGATTATGATGGTCATCATAGCCATCATCCAAAGAGTACCACTCCCGATCTAACCTCTGCTGTTCCTCTTCCCACAACTGCCGATCTTCAGCAGATGACCACCGCAATTCCCCTTCTGTAATACATAAATACGAAACAGAATTCAGATATCAGATAAAAATGAAAAATCAATGAAAATACATTGTCCCAGAAAGTTTAACTTAAAATTTTTAAAGTACTGCTTAAATATTAAAAGAAAATATTCACTTTCACACAACACAAACAAGATGAGAGTAAAACATTGAATCTACAAGATTTGTTGTCACAACCAACATTTGGTTACTTAGAAAATCTTAAAATTAAAACACCATACAGAGAATTACTCTGTAGTAGACTCTGTTAACTCACTTCGACTGATCGCTCAGAGAATTAAAACTTCACACATTGAATAATAACATATAAGTGAAGAAAGTATTAAAGAGATAATTAAATTGCAAAACAAGATCATTTGCAGACCTTTCCCAGGAATCGGAGTTGCTCCGGTCTTCTTTCTATCCTTTGCCCATACATTAAATCGATGTGCAGGAGTCGGTCGTGGTGTCTCATCTAGACGGCTTCTCCGGTCAGTTCCTCTCCGTGAACCACGTTCCGACCAATCACCTTCACTTCGACCTATCATTGGTGTAGGTTGATCCCAGCTTGAATAACGAGAAGGTGTAGGATCATCTTCATCCCAACTCGTCCTACAGAAAAAAAATTACATAAATACTCATTGGAAAATCTAAATAAATACACAGTAAGTCCTTAAAGCAAATGACATTTATCACAACGGAAGACATTGTATACATTCTTCAGACACAATTCTATTAAATTTAGAACAGGAAGTAAAAGTACAACACAATGGGTGTTCATCATAGCAACAAGTTGGTTTCATCCAGATGCTATAGCGTGAAATAGCATTGTGGTAAAAATTTACTTAAAATGAAGTTCATTACCCAAATGATTTTAGATCACTGACTACCTCATGTCCTTTGAATTAATCACTTATTACACTGCTCTGAAACTCATGACATCTTCAGTCTAAAAATCAAAAAAATGTAAACATACAGGAGTAATATTTTTTTAATTACAGACAATTAATTCATAAAAATAAATAGATAAAAATAAAACTATCATAAAATTGTAAAGTTGTTGTCCACCGTATCCTGGCAATGCACAAATTTCATTTCAATGTACACCTTACTGGGAGGCACAAAAGTAAGAAAAATTAATCTTAAAATTCATCAACACATTGCAATCAACACGCCGCACTGTAGACAAAATTCTCGTTTCACTCAGAGACCAAATGTTAAAGCCAACCAGCAGGAAAATTAGCCATTTGAATTTAGCTCCTACTGAGGAAACCATTGACACAAGACTATTTCTGTCAAAAAATAAATTTTCTACATGATTAATAGTTCACACTTCAGAAGCAAATAAATAATTGAAGTGTAAAAACAATTTTCAAAAATTATTAGCTATTCTTAATCCTATTTCCCTATCTGAAACAACTTGAAACATTTACAAATTTCCCCTGAGATGAATGTTACATTCCCATCACACACACACACACACTCCTGAGCTAAATAGAAACTTACAAGGTTAAAAAATTAAGATTTCAAATACATTTTTTAAACTTTAAACACAAGAGTTAGTATACACTTAACTAACGTTAACATTAATTTACACTTTGAAATTAGAAGCACAATAATTAAAATAAAAATGTGGTGAAAACTTACATCAACCTCCTTCATCTACCCTACTCCCCAACTAAAAGTGAACATATTCTTTGAATCACCTCAATGTAGTACACACTATAATTCAGGAACAGATTTAGAATAAATTTCTGTGGGTGATGAATTGCAGATTGGACCTTTAAATATATTTGGATTAACAACACATGTTTACCTTGAAATTAAAAAAAAAGTTTTTGTTTCTTGTGATAATATTCCTTTGAATGTTGTGATGAATATGAGGTAATTGTTTTAAATAAATTGAGCGAAATTACAAAAGAATGTTGGCTTGTAAAGGAGGTGTAAAGCCCCCCCCCCCCTCCTCTTACTTGTACAATAAAATGCACTATACAACACATAAGTGATTTTCTTAAGAATATTGGTGTTAGGAAAACACAGTGCACCAGGTAATAGGGATTTGCCTCTTATATGTTTCTTGAGCCCCGGAAGACATACCCCCAATACTTTACTCACATTACATGAATTCAAAATAAATCATAGTAAGGAGCGTTGTTGACATAATCTGATGTCAAGAAATGCTCGTTTCTGTGTATTTTGCATTGAAAACCAGAGCTATAGATTTGATATAACAGTCTTATCAACCAAATAAGGAAACCCCTCACACCTCTCACATCTTAAGATATGACAGTTCATGAAAACATGCACTAATATTACCAGCTCTTTCAGTTTTATCTACATAACAGAGACGTGACCAATATTTCAGAGATCTTCAATTAACCACAAACATAAAAAGGGAGAATATTTTACAATGAATTCTCAAAAATAAGGGTAACTCACTTTGAAGTCGGATCTTTCACTTTCATGGCTGGAGTAAGTGGTTCGTCTTTAAACCGAGGTGTTTCATTCATATCCCTTGGTGACGATCTACTTCTCACTGATTCTTGCTCCCAATCTCTATCCCTGCTTCTTCTATCACTGCGATCACGTTTGTGATCTCTATGATCTTTATCTGAAAAAAATATTGCCAAATTGTTATGAACATACAATACACAAACTAATGCTTATGGTCAATTTACATTTACACAACATCTTTCATTGGTTGTCATTATTCTTGCTCTCATGGTTCACTTACTAAGAAAGAATTTTCACCATAAAATTAATAAATTTAATTCCTATAATTTACATAAATTTTCTTTCCTTTAAATCATAAAAGTGATTTTGTGAGAGATTGCGTATCTTTCCATCAATATAACAATCGCAATTTTTATTTTACCTTCAATGACAGTGGAGACAGAGAAGACAATATCAGTTAGACACCCACTTAGACACGTTGGCCACACCAGGGGGGTCAATGCCCCCCCCAAAAAGGCCTAGGGTTTTTGTTTACCTTCCTTTATTTGGCAAAATTGATTTAAATATTAATTTATGTTCTGATATTCAAACAAAAATATTGTATAGTATTGTATCTGAAGTACATAAATAATTTACAATATAATAACAAATATGTTTCTACGATGCAATGTGTTTCAACAAAAATCTTTGATACCCCCCCCTCCATTGATGGGCTGGATCCACCCCTATTTAGACACAAACACTAATAAGAATCCTACAATTCATTGTAATCAATATTGTAAAGGAATAATGATGAATATACATTACACACCGCGTGATCTTCTATCATGGTCACGGGAACGTCTGTGCCTATCATCCCTTCTTCTGGATCGATTTTCACCATATTTTTCATGGTCTTTCCTCCTATCTTTTGATGAGGCATGGACACCACGTTCCTTATTCCTTTGTAGTCTTTCAATCATTCGCTCACGTGCCTCCTTTGAGATTCCCCCAGTATGGGAAGGAGTCTCTTCTTGAGAGGAACGATAATGCCTAAATTTAACAAACACCCTTATTCAAGGCTCAAACTTCAATGGTATGTGTCAAACAAAATTTAACACATATTAGATTATAAAAAGCATTCTATATCTGAATACTTTTTCAAGACCTTTATAAATATAATGAAGAAACAGTAAAAGAGGTAATATCAGCGAGATATAACAAAAATATCGTTTACAGAGATATCGTTAGAGTCAAATTAGTAATAGAGAAACCCAGTATCTATGCAGTATGATCATTCATGTTTAAACTTTTGTTTACATTTTCTGTCTTTAATGCAGAGTCAATTTATTACTGATTATAATTTACTTTACTCACTATTAATATTAAATATAAGTTAAAATTTTTTGTTTTCAATATTATTATTTCAGTGATATATGAAGTTATAAATAAAAATAAGATAATACAAACCTCTCCTTTGCTTGGGAATGCCCCTTTTTAGCAGTATTATTATCAATTTCTTGACCTCCTTCTTCATCATCTCTAAAGGACATTTCTTTAGATTTCTTCTCTTCATTGCCAAGCTCTTTCTCTTTTCTCCTTTGTGCTACATGATTAACAAGAGAAAAATCTCAAAATTTTCAAATAAAAACATAAGAAACGTCTCCCAAAAATATTTGTAGTAATAATTACATGAAAATTGGTTTTCTTACCAGCCAATTTATCCAAGCCAAAAAGTGAGGTTCTTGGAGCCGGTACTTTGAAAGTGTCATCCTCAGACGGAACTTTTTTACGAACTATAAGTCCACATGGTTCGTCATTCTTATTTTCTAATCTATATACACCAGGATCTTCGACATCCATTTCAATTAATATTATTTGCGAGGCTCGAACTTGGATGATAAAAGGTTATGTTAACTGATCATGAAAGCATATTTCCACCATTCCAACACAATTTTGTAACTTGAAACATTGAAATATACAAGAATTACTGAGGTTAACAAAAATTAATTACACTCATTAACAAATGTTGCACTGAAACAAACTTTGTATCCATCACTTTTGACACCAATTATCGATATAAACACAAACTGAGTGAAAACAGCGTTAAAATTCACAAAACGACAATACTCCAAGATTTTGGTGTCCAATGCGTATGTATACTGCTAAAATAAGTTGATTATCTTTGTCAATTATTCCTTAACTTTATTTACCCACACATCACAACAAAAGGATTCTGGGTTTTCCTCATGTTTCTTTCTCCGTCGTTTATTGCCGAAGTGAGATCAAGTAGTTTCATGTGCGTCTCCTCTGAGATGAATTTGCAAACCTGCTACAAACTGGAATGACGACAACACTGTATAAGTTTGGCAGACTGACTACTAATTGCGCATGAATCGTCAAATATACAATTAACATGAGCAAATCGAAGTAAATTAATGTTAATATATAACAAATATGAAAATTATAACACAAAATATAATAAAGGAGATAAAATATTTATTTATATACAATAGTTTGCCCCCATGTTACCAACCGGCTCAGTGGTCTAGGGGTATGATTCCTGCTTTGGGTGCAGGAGGTCCCGGGTTCAAATCCCGGCTGAGCCCTCTTTTTCCCATTTTTATAAAAAAATTATGATCGTATTCAAAGGATTGTGAAGAACACGAATAAAAATGTTAGAACCTAAAAAGGAAAATGTATATACGGAATATGTAATGACGGAAAAATAATAAAAATGTGTTCAATGATAAAACTGATAACTCCTACAGTTTGAATTGCGGACATTCGTTTGACGAAATAAGTCATCCTTTAGAGTATATGAAAATTTGCTGCGCTACAAAGGCACGTATTTTCTCGCATTACTTGAAACGCTCACTTAATATTATACAACTATTTGAAGCCGCAAAAGTTTTTTCCAACCCTTAACATACGATTGATTGATGTTTCGGGGCGCGTGGACAATTGGTATGGTCATTAGTCCCGTAAGTGTACTTGATATTATGTCACATGAGTCGGTGATAGAACGTAATATCCGGTGCCAATCTACACGTCGCCTTGCTGGGGAATCCCTTCCTCCACCAGCGAAGCATCGCTACAGTCGGGGTATGCTCTAAATTCCAGGCTGGTCTCCCAACATGTGTAGGAAAGTAGTGATTGTGTGTCTGTATTCGCAGAAGATACAAGGAAGAGGAAGGAAATAATGTGCGCCGTCCGTAACCCGTTTGTTAGGGTACTACTTCGAGATAAACCTGGTATTGATAGAAGGTATTACTGAAAACTAAGATCAGAGCAGCCGGCCATTAGAATTATCTCCAGACAAACGGCAACTGGAGTAGCGCCCGGTGTGTTTAAGCTGGCTTCCGAGATTCACAATAGTCAGTGTCAAAGGTGAACCCAACGGGAGAATCTCACTCCGTCCAGTTGCCTACGAAAGATAGTTATTTATACTCGTGAACATCATCACTCGTCGGAGATTACCAAATAGTGATGACGCGACGTCATAAAGGTAAGAATGCTGTAATAAGCTTTGTGGCACTATCACTTCCACAATTCGGAGAGCCAACAGGGGCAGTGGCTCCCAATTCGAAATGTAATACGATGCGATCCCTCTTAGACAGTTTTTTTTTCGAAAGAGACTTATTGGCTATTAGTTATAGTTTTATAGTTTTATTTTAATTCAAGTTTACGAATTCAGGTTAAATTAAATTCAGTAGCTGATCCGATTAGACAAAAATATTGTTTTCTTCACAGCATTCACAGTTTTATTCGAACATTTCAGGTGCCTCAGATCGTGTCACTGTTTGCACTAGTGGTAAAAATTGAACTTTAGCACTCTTTCATGCCGTAAAAGAAACCGCTTTTATTACTGGCTGTCTAAAAAATATTTTCAAACTCAAAGCACTTCCATTTTATTAATAGTATTTTAATAACATTAATACAGTGCACCAGGAAAGACCCTCCGCATCGAGCCAAATCCTGGTCTCCTATCAAAAATTGTATTTATGCAGGTAGTGATCAACACTTACAACATCCATTATGGGAAGGGGGGACAAAACTTCCAGCATCTAACGTGGTGAGTATGGAATTTACATTTTTTTGCTGCAGGTCGAGCTACCAACAGAAATAATCCGTTGCAAGCACTCTCATCAGCAAGGTGGCACTGCGGACAGATTTTCCTGGCGCATTCTATAATTTTGTACGTGAGTGAATAGAAATCAAGCAGTCTATTATAGCAGCTACAGAGTCTCTGAAAACATCCGACGACGAGTTAGTTGTCCCCTCGATCGCTCAGCTTCCGAGTAGCGGGGGCTGACTCCACCCCGCTCTGGGCAAAGCGTCGCCTGTGCCTCGCGGAACGAGGGGGCGTGACCGCCCCGGTGACAGCTCGCTAATCGGGCCATCCATTGCAGCAATTTGCGGCGCTGCGCGGCGCGGCGCGGGGCCCAAGTGTGAAAGCAGACACCGGGGCGGGCAGACGCCGCGCCGAGAACCAGCGCGACGGGCAGGGCGGCGGTAGCGAGACGAGGGGAGACGGTAGATGGCCGCGGGGGCGGGGGAAGAAGGTGAAGAGGCACTTCACCCATTATTCATATAGGAATTACACAAGGGTTGGGGAAGAAGTCATGGAAACTATTTTTTCCAAAAGAAATGTTATAGGATCCAAAAAATGTATTTGTAGCGTTAAATAAATACTGTACTAATGTGTCTTCACAACAACAGGTGGGTCTGTAAGTGTCTCTATTAGCACAGAGAGCAATGCGAAACACGAATGCGAACAGTTGTCGCAGCAATGCGAACAGTTGTCTGACTGCTGCCGTGTCAGATGAACATAACCCGTTCGAAGCAGCGCTCATGCACCTCGATAGTAGTTCTCCGTGGGATAATTGACTGAGAATATCAGCCCTTCCATATTGGACAGTCGCGAGATTGGCAGGAGAGTTTCTGCGAGGACGCGCAGTAACTACTACACAGCAACACACCTGGTGACGTCCTGTGAGTGTGCGAGCCGATGTGGCACGTGCCGTAACCAACATCTGCCTAATCTGGCCTTTAGAACAGGCATGTAATTCTTTATTGAACACTCGTATATGCCTAAATACTTTGGAACATGAAACCCGTTCTATCATTTCAAATACCTTAAAAAAAATTGATAAACACACATTTGAGGCGTTGTTAAATGTCCACTTGCTTCTTACCTTGTCCTTTCATTGTATAATTCATGTGTATTTTCAACCAGAGCTCGTATTAAAATAAATAAGTAAATAAATAAAGCCACCTCTGCGCGGAATAAGATTGCGACTGCGAGAAGAGAGCAAGAGCGAAGGAGAGCGCGAGAGTGAGAGAGTGAGAGAGTGAGAGAGTGAGAGAGCGAGGGAGAGGTGGGAAAGAAAGAAAGAAAGAAGAAAGAAAGAAAGGAAAGAAAGAAAACAAACGGAAAGAAAGAAAGAAAGAAGAAAGAAAAGAAAGAAAGAAAGAAAGAAAGAAAGGAAGAAAGGAAGAAAGAAAAGAAAAGAAAAGAAAGAAAAGAAAGAAAAGAAAGAAAGAAAGAAAGAGAGAGAGGGGGAAGGACTAAGGTATTGAGTGCTGAATGTTCGGCGAATGGTGACGGAAGCGATCATGCAAGAATGAATGGGGGGTTTTGCCACAGCATGAAGCACTAGTATATCACATACGATACGAACCCATTTTACTTTCTTGTACGAATATACGCCCGTAAATAACGGAGTGTAAAGTTATGTAATGCTGCGCGCAAAAACGGCGGATTTTCGGCAGAAAAAAATTCATTGTCGGGCCCTGATAACGAAAAAGTTAATAAATCCAGTTGCTAAATTAAGAAAATATTCTCTAAATCGAGGTGAAGCCAAAATCTCGGTTTTATGAGTCCTTGATACTGAAAAGTCAGTCCGTCTGTAAACGTCCGTCTGTAAACCCCACTAGCGCCTAAACCATACGTAGGATTTTTTCCAAATTGCAGAAACCCCTGTCGATCTGGTTCGAGTCGAAGCTTTGAGATTTTAAAACACATTCTTTAAAATTTGCAAGTACTACTTTATATAAAGCCCCTGAAACATTTTCATAATTTTCTCAAAAATACCTCCAAATTGTTTCTTAAATTTTTTTGTAAGAATAGAGTAAAATACACTTATGAAGGTGGCAGAAGTCCGCTTTTTAGGGATAGTGTTAGTGATTAATGTACTCTATGAGATGACATAAACGCCATAATGCTCTATTCTTTTGTTTTCTTTCAAAAATTACAAAAAATTATTTTTTTTGTCTAGCCTCTCACGTCGTTAGTATTTATATTAGTAGTGAATGCCAATTACACTGTTTAATATGTCATAAAGTTCATTTTGGGATATCCTTTGTTTTTTTCAAAAATTACACATATGTAATTTTTTATAAATAGCTCTCATGCCATTGATACGCACATTTCTAGCAATTTGTAAAAACTATAGTATTTGTGAGTGACTGAGTAAGCTTCAAATGAAGTTTTTCGAAAACCCAAAAATTTTCTGTGTAAAAAAAGCTTCAAATTTCGCATTTACAGTAACGCGCAACATAAAACAAGAGGGGACTACATTACTGCCCCCTGTTCCCCTTTTCCACTGCCATTTTACCAGAAAATAAATAAAACACACTAGAAGGATAATAAAAAGAAAATATTAATGATACCATTTATACGCGTACATGTAATCGAGTTTAGTCTGAACCATTTACAGGGTTGTTAGATGGTTTGGAGAGCTACTCCTACAAACACCGTGTATCAATTACCCAAAGTGTCAGCTAAAAAACGGGAAAACTCAGAAAATAATCATATTTATGAAAATACAATTTTGGTGGCAGACTGACAGACGTTTAGTCGTTAATCAATTTTCGGTATGAAGGACTCACAAAATGTGAACTCTGACAACTCTACGTGTTAAAGAAATTAATTTACTATTTATAGGCAAGATTTATCCACTTTTTCTTTATCAGGGTCTGGCAATAAGAGTTTCCGAAAAATCATTCTTATGAGGATTGTTCTATATCCACATTCCTCCGTCTGAGCTCATCAAAGTCTGTACTCTAAGATGTCGCTCTGAGATGTCAGAGCGTAGCGAAAACAGTTCCGATATTATCACGCCTAAATTCCATCTATTTGGCGCACTTAATGATGCTTTAAGAAACCGAAGAGATGACTCTGACCTATAGGTAAGTAAGCAATGCATTCACGGCTTGCTGCTCAAACGAAAATTTTTTTTCGTGAAGGTATCGGAAAGCTGATGTTATGATGGACCATATACATTGAAAAGCACGGTGCCGATGTTGAAAAATGATCTCATAAATTTTGTACTATTCGT